GAGGGTGAGCGCCCTTCCCAACTTCTCCAACCCTCCTATCGCATAACAGCCTTTCCGCCATTCTGAACCCTTAAAATCTCTGCGGAGGGCGCCTTCTCTAGGGGGACGAGACCGAGCAGGCCCATGCCGAACGTGCCCTCGCCTGCTCCGCCGCGCGATAGCCTGGCCCTACCGCCCAAGCAGAGTGGAGACGGTACACCCGGAGCACCGCGTGCGACTTGGTTCGGCGCGGATCTCGGCAGGAGATACCGGCTGCTTTGCTACCTGCGCGCACTCACGACTACCCCGCACAGCTGCGGGTGCCAAGGGCGAAGCCGCGCGACTGTGCGCCCCCGCGCCCTCGCGCTTCCGCGCCCCCGCTAGGCTCGAGCTGACCTCTGCCGAGATCTCTAGGGGTGCGCCCTTCCACATGCCCAGCTGAGAGACTGGGCGCCACAGCCCGGGAAAAGAGGTGGGTGCTAAGGGGCAACTGCGAAAAGTGGGGTGGGAATGGGAAGATTGGGGGGCAAGGGGAGGCTGCGATGACTCCTGAGACGCCTGCCCCTCCTTTCTGCAACCCCTTGCACTTAAATGGCTGTTGACTTGGAAACTATTTAGTCAGGGTGTTGATCGCCTCTGTGGCCCTACGCACCTGGCCTCACAAAATAAACTCTCCTTGCAGCCATAGGGACAGCCTTTACTGGGGAATGTGGGAGCAGGCTACCATCCACCCGTCATCATCCGTCTGGCCCTGAGCAGCTGGTGAAATACAAGGACGAGCGATCTTAAAACCTGAAGCACCTTCTGATCCTATAAGGGAAGCGTCACGGGCTATTTCCACCCTTTTTTTTTCTTTCTTTCTTTCTTTCTTTCTGGCATTTTCTATAAAGGGCAGGTGGAAGTGGGCAGCTGGGCTTCACCACCCGAGCTCATCTTCCTTTGCGTTTTGCTTCTTGCTCCAGTCTCTGGAAATGCGTTTTCCTGGCTGAAGTTTGCTGCTCTCCAAGCAAGTAAGAGCTTGTAGAGATGAGAAGTTCACTCAGAAATGAAGGTGCAATAAGATAGGAGAGGAATGTGGGGAAACCAGATTGTCTAATTTTAGCCTGAATTTCATTGTAAGGGAATCACCATCTGTTCCCTGAGAAGGGTTTTTTGATTGCCCAGGCTGGGGAAAGTGTGATTGCCATGAGTTAGGAGTCACTGTATGAAGAAAAAAGAAAAAGTGATTGTCTTTATGTACAAAACATTTTAAATAATTAAATTTCAAATAGCAGCATTTTAGAAATTGTAAGCCCCTTCAAGTCAAACAGTTCAATGCTATGTTATGAGTTCATCTCTAAAGCAGTATTTTTATTTTCTTGTCTTGGGGAGATTCTTGTTAACAGAAATGCGAAGTAAGGGCTACACAGAGTTAACTCATGTGCTTCCAGTAGTTTTATTACATATTACTCCTGCAGAGTTATCAATGCAAGGAGGTGTGTGGCGGTTAAGATTTCAGAGTTAGAAAGACCAGGATTTGAGGCTTGTCTCCACTACCTAACTTGCTGTGTGACTTTGGACAAATTGTCTAACCTCTGTGAGTTTGATTTTATCATTTCTAAATGGGTTGCTGGAAGAATGAAAGCCACAAACAATAGACAGGTATATCAGTTGAGCATTTACCTGAGGTAGATACACTCCTTGGAGAGAATAAGCATGAGAGAAAAAAGGGCTGCTCAGGCACAGGGAGACAGCTCCGGGGGCAGGAGTACATGGAGAGATGGACACAGGGAAGAGGAAACTATCGGGAGGAAGTGGGAGGGGAGATGTTGCATTGTGCTAAATTGTGGTCAATGTCATGAGACAAAGTGTATGTGAACTGCTGTGTGGAAAGTGTATTTGCGCTATAAATTTTCACCCAAATCACACACAAAAAATAAATAAATAAAAAGAATGAAGGCCACAACATAAGGACTGTAGTTAGGGTGCCTACACAACCGTTATAAATGATACCAAAAACCACTGAGTTGATCCCAACTTATAGTAACCCTGTAGAGCGGAGTAGAACTGCCTCATAGGATTCCCAAGGCTGAAAATCTTTATGAAAGCAGACTGCCACATCTTTCTCCCATGGAGCAGCTGGTGAGTTCAAACCACTGGCTTTTCACTTAGTAGTTAAGTGCCACTGCACCACCAGGGCTCCTTCAAGAGAGTCTCTGTCTGCCTTCTTTCAAGGAATCAAATTCTGGCCTCCAGCGTGACAGGTGGGGATATTTACCACTATACTAACAAGGACAGCAATAAATGATTCCAAGGCTAATGATGACAATGAGGGGAATAGTTAGGACCAATGTAATGATTACAGCAGGGCGCTGCCCACTCAAGAAGTCTCTATGAGTTCCTCTGTACCATGGGAGGTATATTGATCACATTGCTGCTTCTAAAAACATAAGGACCTGTTTCTAAGTTCTTAAGTTTTATTGGAACAAGCAAAATCTATCCTTAACCTGTTTTGCTGTGGAATGTTCAACGTATCTATGTTGTATATTTCAAGATTGTCTTACATTTACAGATGTGCACAATATCAAATTAACACAGAACTCCTATGACTCTGGTTATTTAATTTTTGTTTATTATTTAAAATACTAGCTGATGTCCTTATCATTCCTGGGTTAACACTGATTCTGGAAGACTGAAGGGAGGAACCAAGTCCTGGAGTTACTTTTACCTTGGCTGTTGCGACCAGCAGCGCCTGAGACTTGTTAAAAATGCATTCTCAGCCCCTCCCCACGTTTATTCAGTCAGATTCTGCATTTTAACAAGACCCCTTACCTGTACTCATTCCAGGTAAAAAGCACTATCTTAAGAATTAGAGCACACTGATGTTTCTCAAAAATGAAACCAGTCGCCGTCTAGTAAATTCTGACTCATGGTAACCCCATGTGTGTCAGCATAGAACTGTGTTCCTGCATGTTTTCACTGGCTGATTTTTTCAGTAAATCACCAGGGCTTTCTTCTGACATCTTTTGGGTGGACTTAAATTTCTAACTGCTAGGTTAACAAACAACAGGTTAACAGCTGAGCATGTTAACTGTTTGCACCACCCAGAACTCTGTTATGTGCCGTCGAGTCAGCCCCGACTCATAGCGACCCCTCCTTGGGTTTCCGAGGCAGTATCACTACGGAAGTAGGATTGCCCAACCTTCCTTCCGAGGAGTGGCTGGTGGGTTTGAACTGCCAGCCGTCTGGTTAGCAGGCAAGTGTCTTAGCCACTATGCTACCCAGAACTCTAGGCCTTATGAAAACATGCATTTCTCATAGTTTGTCTTTACATAATCAAGTGAAAAAAATTTATTATAATTTTTCAAATGACTGCTCTATATTTTGGGAGCTCTGGTGGTGTAGTGCCTAAGGCACTAACCAGAAGGCTGGCAGTTCAAACCCACCAGCCACTCCTTGGAAGGAAGATGGGGCAATCTACTTCCGTAGAGATACCGCCTTGGAAAACAAGGAGGGTCACCGTGAATCGGATCCACCTTGGTGGCAATGCTTTGGGGTTTTTTTTGGTTTGGGATCTATATTTTTAATTTGAAAACAGCCAAAAAAGATAGTGTCATTTGCCTTCTATTTGATAATAGGAAAGAACTGACATTTCAAGTCCTGTTCAATTCTGCCAGCTGTGAATTCTGGTATTTCTATTACCCCTGAAATATTTCAGTTTTGATACTGCATAGCGTATTTCATTCTGGCTCCTTCAATGAGGGGGAAATTATGGGTTTGAAGTTCTCACCCCATGTATACTTTGAATAGTAGTCTCTGAATGCATGTCACTCCTGTTTCACTCTTGTGAAAGTTGTATCCAAAAACTTAACTGAAACATTTATTTATCAACCCTTTATATGACATAAAGAGCTGCTCTAGTGGTGCAGGGCCTAAGGCATTTGACTGCTAACCAGAAGATTGGCAGTTCAAACCTACCAGCCACTCCTTGGAAAGATGATGGGGCAATCTACTTCTGTAAAGATTTACCACCTTGGAAACCCAAGGAGGTAACTATTACCCCAGGGAATCAACTGGATGGCAGTGAGTTTGGTTTATATAATATAAAAAGGAACTTTGGCAGAGCACTGCTTAGGTACTTGGCTGCTAACCAAAAAGGCCAGTAGTTCAAACCCACCAGCCACTCCACTGGAGAAAAATGAGGCAATCTGCTTCTGTAAACATTTACAGCCTTGGAAACCCTATGAGACTGTTCTACTCTGTCCTTTAGGGTCACTATGAGTCAGAAACAACTTGATGGCTGTGGGGTTTGGGTTTTTGGTTTTTGGGGGTTTTTTTTATGATATTATATAAAACAGTACCTATATTAAATTAAATTAAAATTAAATACATGGCAATAATTACTAAAGATTTGTGTCTTTCTATGCATGTAAGGAAAAACTAAATATTATGTGACTGAAACAAGTTATTTTGATCTTTTTTACTTTCTGAGTTTTTATGCCAGAAGATGCCATCAGTATATATAGCAGGAATACAATAATACATATGTATTAGACATAGAAATAGACAAAGATATAATATATATTAATATATATTTATGAAAATCAACTGTATTGAGGTGTAACTCATATAAAATAAAAGGCATAGAATGGTACATTTTAAATCTGCATTTTATCATATATACATTATACCTCAATAAAGTTGACTTTTTTAAAAAGCTGTTTTCGAGGATTGCCATGGTTCATTGCATATTGCTCAAATAGTTCTGAGAAGGTGAAGAAAAGTAATACAAACAATGAAGATTGATGCATTGGGTGAACACAGAAAATAAACAGCTAATTGGTCCTGGAAAGATGAAAATATATAAATTTAGATGGTTTAAGATCAATGTTATAAAGTATTTGACTTTAAGGCTAAAAATGCAGAATTTAATGTCTGGGACATAAACATGAAAAAATGTTTTGGTATGCAGTCTATTGGCAAGTTCCAGTTTCCTTCCTCACATTCTGATCTCTGTGTGTTTCTTTATTCAGCAGACACCTGCATTTACCACAATGCTCTCGTCCAGTGATCTTGGGTCTGCTTCCTGGGAGCTCATGGTCTGCGTTGACCATCCAAATGAAGAGGAGCAGAGAGATGTCACACTGAGAGTGTCTGGAGACCTGCATGTTGGAGGAGTGATGCTCAAGTTAGTAGAACAGATCAGTAAGTTACTTTCTTTATGGTTTCTCTGTATTTGACAACCTCTCTGCTACATCACCACTAACTCACTGGTTGTTGTAAATATTTCCAGAAATGGAGAAACTCAGCCTTCTGAAAGTAATTCATATCATCTCCTGGTAAGGGCAGTCTTCAGATTATCTAAACCTTGCTTATATTCAAGAGTCAATCTCTCCAATTTTCCCTCTCCCACCAAAAAGAAAATCTTTTTAATGCTATAATCATTATGGAGTTCCTCAGTGGTACAAATGGTTCACACCCTCTGCTGCTAACCAAAAGGTTGGAGGTTCCAGTCTATCCAGAGGCACCTCAGAAGAAAGGTCTGGTGATCTACTTCCAAAAAAATGAGCCAGTGGAAAACCTATGGAGCACAGTTCTATTCTGACACACGTGGGGTTGCCATGAGTCAGAGTTGACTCGATAGCAATTGTTTTTTAATCCTTTATGAGCAGCCAAGTTTTACTTCCTTGTTTGTCTGATTATCCATCTGTAATGGCCCAGAGAACAAGAATGCCAGGGAGAAGAGGAGAAATAGGGGGGCCTGCAAAAGCTTCAGCTGAATTGACTACCCTTGCAATACCTTGAGAGAGTAGTGGTGAATCAAAACTTTCCAGTAGGTCAGGGATTTCATTTTACTTGCATCCACAGTCAACACCCATGGAAGCAGCAGTCAAGAAATCAGATGTATTGCTGAGACACACATGCTGCAAAAGACTTCCTTAAAGTGTTAAGAAGCAAAGATGTCACTTTGAAGACTAAGGTGCATCTATCTAATCCAAAACCAAAAACAAACTCTGCCATCAAGTCAATTCTGACTCATAGTGACCCCCATTGGGCTTCTGAGGTGGTAAATCTTTTGGGAAGTAGATTGCCCATCTTCCTTCCACAGAGCAGCTGGTGGGTGTGAACACCAGCCTTCTGGTTAGCAATCAGATGCCTTAGGCATTATGCCACCAGAGCTCCCAAGCCATGGGATTTTCAATTGCCTCATATGCATGTGAAAGCTGGACAATCAATAAGCAAGATGTAGTAGAGTTGATGGCTTTGAATTATGGTGTTGGAGAAGAATACTGAAAATACCATAGACTGCCAGAAGAGCAAACAAACCTGTCCTGGAAGAAATGCAGCCAGAATGCTCCTTGGAAGCAAGAATGGCCAGACTTTGGTCATGTTGTTAGAAGGGACCATTCCCTGGAGAAGGATATCATGCTTGACATAGTGATATGTCATATTGACATAGTGGCTGCAGCAAAGGGTTCAAGTATAGCAAGGATCGTGAGGATGGGCACGACTGGGCAGCGTTTAATTCTGTTTGTTGTACATAACGCTCACTGAGTGTTGAGGAGACTCATAGAATCACTATGAGTCACCTCAACAACAACAACTTGATGGCACCTAACAGCAACAACAGTAGGTTTGATGATATTATGGATTGAATTATGTCCCCAAAAAATATGTGTCAACTTTGCTAGGCTTTGATTCTCATTGTTGTTGTTGTTATGTGCCGTCGAGTCAGACCCGACTCATAGCAACCCCTCCTTGGGTTTCCGAGGCAGTATCACTACGGAAGTAGATTGCCCCATCTTCCTTCCGAGGAGTGGCTGGTGGGTTTGAACCGCCAGCCTTCTGGTTAGCAGTCAAGTGCCTTAGCCACTATGCTACCAGAGCTCCCTCAGTATTATGTAATTATCCTCCATTTTATGATTGACGTAATTTTCCCATTGTAAATCCTAACATCTATGATGTTAATGAGGAGCCTTAATGGTGCACTGGTTAAAGCGCTCAGGTGCTAACCAGGAAGGTCAGCAGTTCAAACCCACCAGGCCCTCCACAGGAGAAAGATGTGGCACTCTGTTTTCGTAAAGATTTATAGCCTTAGAAACCCTATAGGGCAGTGCTCCTTTGTCCTGTAACTTCTTTGTGAGTCAGAATGGACTCTGAATGGCAGTGGATGGCTATGATGTTAATAAGGCAGGATTAGAGACAGTTATCTTCATGAGGCAGGATATAATCTAAAGGATTAGATAGTTCCTTGAGTCAATCTTTTTTGAGATATAAAAGAGATTAAACAAATGAATAGAAATCAGAAGGACCTGACTACCACCAAAAAAGAAGAGCTGGGACCAGAGCACATCCTTTGGACCCAGGGTCCCTGCGCTGAGAACCTCCTTGACCTAGGGGAAGATTGATGCCAAGACACATGGAGATCTCCAAGGAACACCAGACCCACAGGCGTTAAAAGCCAGCGCTGTTGGAGAAAGTCTTCCACTATAGCCAGTGCTCTGAATTTAGACTTCTAGCTTCCTAAACTGGGAGATAATAAATTTCCGTTGTTAAAGCCATACACTTGTTGTATTCCTGTTATAGCAGCACTAGAAAACTAAGACATATGCCATATTTCCACAAGGACTGGTGACACCTAGGATGACTTTAAATGGCATCACATTAGACTAGTGTGTTGATTGCTAACACTTCTGATTACTCAGTGATACAGTCTGTTGTTGTTGTTGTTATGTGCCATTGAGTCGAATCTGACTCACAGCGACCCCTCCTTGGGTTGCTGAGGCAGTTATCACCACGGAAGTAGATTGCAAAACGTTTCTTCTGAGGAGTGGCTGGTGGGTTTGAACCGCCAGCCTTCTGGTTAGCAGTCAAATGCCTCAGGCACTATGCTACCAGAGCTCCCGTGATACTTGGTGTTAATATGTCTTTGAATACTTTACCATCGATTACTCTTCCTGTTTAAACAGAGAGAAGTCTTCAGAGTCAGATTCTTCTCATTAGGAGTTAACATTATTGAGCTACAATATACTACTGTTTTATCTTGTTATTTATCGTTACCTTTTATTTATGGATGCTAGCTTATAATGAGCATTACTTGAGAAACAAAGTTTTTGCTCTGTTTTTAAGTAAATCTTTATTTAAGGGAACTCCCTCGGTGGTGCAAACGCTTAAGCACTCAACTACTAACCCAGAGGTTAATGATTCAGGTCCATCCAGAGGAGCCTCAGAAGAAAGACCTGATGATCTGCTTCTGAAAGTAGCAGCCATTGAAACCTCTATGAATCTCAGTTCTACTCTGCAACACATGGGGTCCCTGCAACTCAGAAATCTGGCCACTAGTTTTATTTGAGTAAAACCTACATACAAAAAAGTGTACTTATCCCAAGTATACAGTTCAATGAATTTCCACAAAGTCATGTAACCACCACTTAGATCAAGAAACTGCGCATTCCCAGCAGCCCCCTCCAAGGGCCCATGTCTGACCCTTGCAAATCACCACCAAGGAAAACCACTGTCCTGACTTCTAACACCACAGAAATAATTTGGCTTGTTTTTGAACTTTATTGCATAGGATGAACTCTCACACACCTGTTTTCTTTCACTCAACATTATGTTGTGAGATGTATTCATATTGTTGTGTATTGTTCTTTTTGTTTCTTTTCATGACTGTATGACAATGGTCCATTGTATGAATATGCCACAGTTTATCCATTTCTCGACTGATGAACTTTTGATGTGCTTCCGTTTTGGAGGCTCTTACAGCTAGGGCTGCTATAGTACATATCTTTTCGTGAACCTTTGTACACATTTCTGAGTGAAATTGCTGAATCATAGGGTTTTCCAGAGTGGTTGTATCCATTTACTTTTCTACTAACAGCATATGAGAGAAAGTTTTCTAATTGAAGAAAAGAAAGAAAAAAACTTAAAGGAAAAATAACAGGTAGATAAAAATACTGGAATGTCTTAATTTAGCAAAATAAAATCATGAAGGCTCCACTCAAGTAAGATTAGGATAGATTTGATAGAAAGAGCTCTGTGATAGGCATTAACTGTGTGACCTTATACAAGTTGTTTCACGTCAATGGGCCTCATTTTACTACTGTTAACCGAGAATTAAAGCTACCAAACTGCCCTTTGAGCTCTATGGTTCCATTTTTTGTGGCTGTTTCCAGACAAAGATAGCAGACATTCTAGTATACAAAATGATTGTGACCATTCCCTGAACTTCATCACATTTCCAGTGCTTGATTCCCTCTAATTCCTCTGGGTGCCAAGTATTTGAATGTCATCCCTACTGTATGCCTCACACTGTGCCCCCTTTTATGCCCCCAGGATTGTCAGCAAGCTGGGAAATTTTCCTCTTCTGACATATTCATTGGAAACGTCCAGCATTAAGTGATGTTGCCTGTATTAGTCATGTGATAATCAGGCCACTTCTCCCTGTTCATAGTGACTGATAGTTTTTCAAAAATTTGAATGATTTCTGTTCTTTCAGGATGACTTTAACTCAGTGGTGGCCTTTGGTACTTAAGTAGCACCCCAAACCACACCTCCTAACTAAGACAGATAATTTTTCATAAGCAGAAGCCTACTCACATTAGTAGGGGGAAAAATATGTGTCTGCAGACATTTGGACCATTCCAGCTATATTATTTCTACATCTACTTATTCCATTGTGAAAAGAAACAGTAAACATCTAGGTAGTGAAAACCAAACAAAACCCACTGCCATGGAATTGATCCTAACTCATAGCGACCCCCACTGGGTTTCCAAGATAGTAAATCTTTACGGAGTAGATTGCCCAGTCTTCCTTTTACAGAGTAGCTGTTGAGGTTGAAGGACCAACCTTCTGGTTAGCAGTCAGATGTCTTAGGTACTGTGCTACCAGAGCTCTTGGTAGTAGGTGAAGTAAATCACATTCTGTATCAACTGTAATTTCTTCAGTGCTAGCACAGGAAGAGAGCAGAAAGAAGTAGGAACTAGGTGCACTCACATAGCTCTACCAGGACCCTGCTGGCTTTGTTTTGCTAATAATGAATCCCATGTAAATAGACACATTTTGTTATACATTTTTGCTTCTGGGGATATTTTCTATTCCCACAGAACAAGTTTTTTAAAATTGTTCCAGGGCAATTTATTTTGTCTACCGCTTTCTAAAGGATCCCAAACCCAGACTAAATCAAACCCATGGCTATCAGTTCGATTCCAACTCTTGGAGACCCCAGAGTAGAACTCCTCCATAGAGTTTTCTTGGCTTCAGTCTTTACAGAAGAAGATCACCAGGCATTTCTTTCTTGGTGCTGCTGAATGGGTTTGAACTACCAACATTTAGTTTAGTACTTGACCACAAACCATCTGAACCACCTAGGGAACACACCAAGGGATTTCTAGAAGGCAAAGCTATTGGAGACAATAAGGTAGAGCTATTGACTTGCTAAATACAAGGTTGGCAAGTGGTCTCATGAAGATTCTATAGCTTGGGTAAAAGAGCTGGCCCTTTGCATGTGGCTGATTCAGTAAAGGGTTTATTGTCCTCCCCATGTCAGAATCTTTATTCTCTACTTAACAGGGAGACAATTTCTGGCAGTAAATCCACTAAGTGGATAATTATTGGTAGCATTCTGCAGTTCCTTAGCAGATGTGCATATTATTTTCCCTTCCCTCCTCCCCTTTGGTCCCTGCCTGGGCCTGACATCTGCCAGGGGCATCCATGGACATGTTCTAGAGACCTGCTAAGGAAACATGCATTCACTACAACAGTCTGTGATGGTGGATGCCTAAGGGGAACAGTAATATTCTGCTTCTTGATCTGGGTGCTGATTTCATAGGTGTTTGCTTTCTTCACATTTTGTTAAACTGTACGAATAAGTTTTATGGACTTTTCCTTATGTCTATAATATTTCACAAAAAAAAAAAAAAATTTTAGCTGAAAGAAAAAGTCATGTGTTTAAAATGATAGAGCTATGCATTAACCAAGAAACCAAACCAAACCCCTTTGCCATTGAGTCTATTCCGACTCACAGCAACTCTACAGGATACAGTAGAACTGCCCTATAGGGTTTCCAAGGCTATAAATCTTTACAGAAGCAGACTGTCTCAACTTTCTCCCACAGAGCAGCTGGTAAGTTCGAGCCGCTGACCTTTTGGTTAGCAGCCCAGTGCTTTAACCACTGTACCATTAGAATGCCTTAGAACTGTGTGGTAGTCACCAACACGTCTGAATGTTCACCACGACTAGAAGGTAGCCTGGCTTTTTGAATTGGAGTTATTAGTTAGGTTTCCTTAGGCTAATTACCTAACTTCCTTAAGCCTCAGCTTCCTCCCCTGTAGACTGTGGATAAAATCAGTCTTTCAGATGGTGTTGAAAATTCACTAAGCAGTCAGGAACAGAAAACAGGAAAGGGAAAATCACTTCTTCCTTCTCCAGCCTTGTAATCACCCCAATCAGCAGAGTCTAACAGAGAGCAGTTGACAAAGCAGGAATGTGGTTTGTGGGGTCCCAGCCCAGGAACAGAGAGCAGAGTACAAATGGTAGGTTTAAAGCTAAGAGATTATAAAACCAGTAAAACCAGTTGCCATCAAGTTGAACCAACTCCATGTGTGTCAAAGTGGAACTGTGCTCCATAGAGTTTTCAAGGGCTGATTTTTTCTTCAGAAGTAGATCTCCAGGTCTTTCTTCCAGAGCACCTCAGGGTAGACTCAAACCTCCAACCTCCAGGTTAGCAGCCAAGTGTGTTGACTGTTTTCACCACCCAGGGACTCCTATGAGATTGTAGCCTCACCTTATTGATGGAGGGAGTAATGGAGAAATATAATTCATATCTTGTTCTCATGTAAGTGATTTAAAAAAAAAAAAAAAACTCACTGTCATCAAGTTGATTCCAACTCATAGCAACCCCTCACTGAATTTCCAAGATGGTATCTCTATGGAAGTAGATTGCCCAATCTTCCTTCCAAGGAGGGGCTGATTGGTTTGAACTGCCAGCCTTCTGGTTATAACAGTCAAATGCCTTAGGCACTGCGCCACCAGAGGTCCCCATATAAGTGATAGGAAAGGAAATGTTACCACCAGTGGAGTGTAAAAGTACAGATGAACTTGGGTTTTCTCTAGTCTTGTGGCCCTCACAGTCTTAAAGGACTCAAATGAATCCAACCTGATAGGCAGGTCTCTAAACCAGATGAAAGGAGCCACATCCCATCCATCAAAGACTATCAACACTATCTATAGAAGGCCATCTGATATGAGCAAATTGATGAGGAACTGGGTAGCTAAAGTCTGCAAGGAGCTGCACAGAGGTTCTGTGACCTAACTCCTTCCTGTAAGAGTTTCTCTGGGCCCAGGGCATTTTAATTAGAGAAATGCCACTGACCTGGTGTCTAAGAGAAACTAAGGGAAATCTAGTTTCAAAATCTTTGTTGTAATCAAGGTGTAAATGGATATACGTCTATATGTGAAATTGAGTGTGAAAATAAACAAAGACAGATACGAAAATGGTGTATGATGAAAGTTCATGACATCTAGGAATAAAGAACAGGAAAAGAGTCAACACTGACACCAACTTTAAAGACTTTAAAGAAGAGAAAAGATTCAACTTGGATGATAATGTTGAGAGAGAAAAATTATTCCACTCTGATTTCATTGTAGACCCTTGGGAAACTAGGAATGTAGTGATAATGATAAGAGAGTTGGATGTTGTACTGTGAAGAGACAGTTTTACTATTCTTCTGTGTGGACTTTTATTGGGAGCTCTTGATAGAATCTTTTGTGATCCAGTGGTGTGAAGATACATATCTATGGGAGAAATAATCTTGATTAAACAAAGGCAAATCCTTATATCCTTCCCAGAAAAGGCCATAGCACTAAAAGATTTTTAGGAAGAGAACTTTAGCATTTTATCATGAACATAATTTTGAATGTTTTTGTTCTTTCCATTAGATATAAATGACAATAAGGTTCAATCACATCAGTCACTATTTTCTACCTGCTCTACAGTTAGAGACTTTGGAGGGAAGCCAAGAATTACCAATACAATACCAAGGAATGATCCTTGGCCACAAAGAACCTAGAAACTAAGTAAAAGAGACACAAAAAGCATCTTCAGATCCTAGAACACCAAGAAAAATGTGTAAGACTTGTTGAACAGAAAACCAATTTGCTCTATAAATTTTCACCCAAATCACAATAAATTTTAAAAAGAAAACTGGTTCTTTCGGGTTTCGAATACAATGAAATTGACTTTGGAGTGCAGAGTTTGTTGTTGTTGTTGTTGATTTTTATTGTGATTTGAGTGAAAATTTACAGAGCAAATACATTTTCCTTACAGCAGTTCATACTCATTTTGTTTCATGACATTGACTGCAATTCTTCACAATGTAACAACTCTCTTCCCCCTTCCTCCCTGTAGTTACTTCTTCCCTGTGTCCTTCTTTCCTATGCATTCCTGCCCCCTGAGCTATCTCCCTGTGCATATACTGCCCTTCTGATCTCCCATGGTTGATTGTTCTAAAGAGTATACCTATGTAGCATAAATGTTCAACCTGTAGACCTGTCTATTGTTTAGCTGGAAGCCATGGGAATGAGTTCAAGTGCAGACCTGAAGGGTAACTAGGAGCCTTAGTCTTGGTGATCTCACCAGGCTTTATCAGACCAGTAAGCCTGGTCTTTTTTATGAATTTTTTATGATTTTTTTATGAATCCTCTCCAGGATCTCTGAGTGCAGAAGTTCTTGATGCTTGGCTATCTCTCATTCTACTTAACTCTGTTTTCCATTTTTACAGACATATCCCGAGACTGGTCAGACTTTGCTCTTTGGTGGGAACAAAAGCATTGCTGGCTTCTGAAAACCCACTGGACCCTGGACAAATATGGAGTCCAGGCAGATGCAAAGCTTCTCTTCACTCCTCAACATAAAATGCTTCGCCTCCGGCTGCCCAACGTGAAGACAGTGAGATTGAGAGTCAGCTTCTCTGCTGTGGTTTTTAAAGCTGTCAGTGATATCTGCAGAATGCTAAGTGAGTACCCTGGAAGGGCCGCTGCGCCCTTTAGACTCTCAGCAAAGGAGTGCAGGAAAATTGGTGTGCTTCTGACCACCTTAAGCAGTTGACTTTAGAGGACACTTTCTTTACTATTAGCAAACATATTTTCAAGCCCAGTTCTTTTTTATTTATTTATTTATGTATCTTTTTCATCATTTAAACCATTTTTTCTTTATTGTGATAAAATGTATATGTTACAAAGAATTTGCCATTTCACCATTCTTCACATGCACAATTCAGTGACATTTATTATGTTCATTATGTTGTACAACCATCACCATTATCCATTCCAAATTTTTCCATCTTAACCATTTAAAGTGTACAGTTCAGTGGCACTGAATATAATCACCATGATGGGCAACCACTATCCATTTTGACATATGCATTCTTCTGTCTGGCTCACTGAAAAACTTGAGTTGATGTAAACCTGTACTGACCAAAATCAAGCCAGTTCTTGATATGTTACTCATTTAAGTGAATTTAAACCAAATGGAATATTATTGGAATCAAACGGATTCATTTCCACAAAGCCCAAAACTATTTCAAAAAAGATTTGTAAATTAAATAGAAAAGCTGATTTAAATTACTCCTTGCCCCCAAAATAATCATTCCTCCTAGCCATACTAAGATCATTATTATACTCAAGACAAAAACAAATTCCTTTAAGTCATTCATCACCATAGAGGTAAGTAGCTCTGTCCACCAAAATCTTTTGTGGAGTTTATTTTAAACAGAAAAGTACATTTAAATTATGGATTGAAATCTAATTAGTATGGATGGATGTCCCAACATTAAACAGTTGTTAGGGAAAACCTGGATCAAACTATTTCTTCTCTGTAGGGACTTTCAGGGAGCTCTGGTGGCGTAGTGCCTAAGGCATTTAACTGCTAACCAGAAAGCCAGAAGTTCAAATCCACCAACCACGCCTCGAAAGAAAGTTTGGGCAATCTACTTCCAAGTAGAAACCCAAGGAGGGGTCACTATGAGTCAGATCTGACTCAACTGCAGTGGGTTTGGTTTAGGGACTTTCATAAAGGAAAACCTTGAACAGTCAAGGTGCTTTTATTGCATATATTTTTTCAAGTTTGTGGGTGTATTCTTAGATTCCAAAGCCACAATTCAGCATTTGAAAACACAGACTAGACAATATATGAGTAGTGATCTATCTTCCCCATTAAATCATAAATGTCTTCTTCATTCATTCACTCATGCAACCCATATTTATTGAGCACCTATTATGTGCCAGTCATTGTAATGAAGCAAGGGATAATTAGCAATAAAAATAACCAAAAATCTCTGCCCTCTTAGAACTTAATGTTTCAACAGGCAGAGAGAGATAATTAACAGTACATGTAATAAACAAGGAAAGAATGGACTGTGCTGTATCATATTCGGGTTTAATGCTTATTCAATAGTAAAACTGTCTTCTTTCTAAAAGAAAAAAAAAGAAGAAAATATATGATGTTAAAAGGTGATAGATGAGAGAGGAGAAAGAAAAAAGGTATTACAGAATAAACAGACTTGGGAATGGTGGTACTGGGTAGTGATACAGCATTAAGAAGAGTGAAAATTAAAACCATTTCCTCAGCCAGTTTGTATTCATAACACCCAGAATAATGGCTGGCACATACAAGTTGCTCCATAACTGTTTGTTGACTGAACAAGTGGAAGTACACATTTCATTACAGAATAAAGCTTGCAGAGGCGTCCCTTATGCTTGGTGTATAAATAACAAGTCCAAGAAACTCTGCCTTCAGTAATACTCTAATGAAGATTTGAAAACAAAAACAGAGGGTTAAATGAAATGTCATATTCCACACCCTGCAGTGGAGTGGAAATGCACATCATAACTGATACCTCAAACTTGATGTTTTGAAATAAATCAAAACAGTCAGAAGTTCTTCACTGTTTCTGCACGATTGTTCTAAAGGACTCACGTTGGCATCATTGCTGTTTATATCTTACTAGTTGAAACAATAGTTTTTCCCTTGAAGAAAAGAAAAGACACAAATCTTTGGGCTTGGAGATATAGATGTTTTGTTTTGTTTTAATGCTTCCACTGGAAATTTTGATTTGTCACCAAGTTTTGTGTATAAATTATGTTTTGGACCAATCACAGGCTCCTGTCACAACTTATCAGATTTCCTTGGTTACTGGGGAGAAAATCAAGCTGCGCTGCTCGTCTCAGTGAGTGAACTGAATAAGTGGGAAGGCCTCATGGAATTAGATCTTTTACCTCCAAAGGCTGCCCAGAGACCCTAAAACATCCAAATTCCTTGGCTTTTACCTGGGATCATAGCAGCACAGTCTGGTTCATTGTTATCAATAGTTCTGACTGGCAGTTATCAATATATTTGATTGATGGGGAGAAATAGGGTTCATCCTCTTAGTTTGGGTGCTCTAGGAACAGAGCCTGAGACAAGGATCAGGTAAAATAGTTTATTCAGGAGGTGAGGCCAGGAAACACTGGTTGCGAGCTAAAGATGTGAGATAGGGAAGAGAAGACCACCAATAAGAGTGTCACCAGCCAAGGTATACTGTGGGTATCCAGGGACCTCTGCGAGACATACCTCAGAGCTATACCACCTAAGGGGTAAGGATATTGAGGTTATTAAACACCAGCTTTTGTCAATTGTTGAGAGCTGCTCTTGAAGACCATCAATTCCCTGAACTTGTGGGCAAAGTAGACTTTGGTGGACAGAGCAAGTCCTCTGATAAAGAGATGCATGTCCTAGCTGCCATAGGAGGTCAGGCTTGCATGCCCAAAATGGTGAGGGCCAAAAAGAGATGAGCAGAACACTGACAGTGTTTGTCACAGCGATGAAGTTAGCTCCTGGGCAGAGGGATAAGACCAAGTCTTTCAGAATATAGGAGCTCTGGTAGCATAGTGGCTAAAGCACTTGACTGCTAACCAGAAGGCTGGTGGTTCAAACCCACCAGCCACTCCTCGGAAGGAAGGTTGGGCAATCCTACTTCCGTAGTGATACTGCCTCGGAAACCCAAGGAGGGGTCGCTATGAGTCGGGGCCGACTCGACGGCACATAACAACAACAACAACAACAACAAAGAAAAAGGGAGAGCTCTGGTGGTGTAGTGCATAAGGCATTTGACTCCTAACCAGAAGGCTGGCAGTTCAAACCCAACAGCCACTACTCTGAAGGAAGGTTGGGCAATCTACTTCCATAGTGATACTGCCTCAGAAACCCAAGGAGAGGTCATTATGAGTCGGATCTGACTCGATGGCAGTGGGGTTAAAGAAAAAGGGAGGCAAGGCCTGTGGTCGTTTAACAAAAAACAAACCACTTGCTGTGGCGTTGACTCTGTGGGTCAGAGCAGAGCACCATAGTGTTTTCAGTTGGCTGATATTTCCGCAGTGAATTGCTGAACCTTTCTTCCAAGGCGCTTCTGGGTGGACTTGCACCACCAACTTTTCAGTTAGCAGTGAGCGTATGAACCATTTACACCTCCCAGGGAAGTCTTTGGCTGTTTAGAAAGCTTTAAAAAAAAGAGAGAGAGAAGGAAAGGAAAAGAAATCGGTGATGATGGGGAAATAGAGTAGCAAATTGCTGATAGTGGCTGAAGCCGAGTGATGGACACGTGAGGAATTACACTGTTGCCTGTACTTTTATTATTTTCATAGTAAATTAAAAAACAAACCATAAATTTTACTAGACTGACTCTCCCCCTACTTTCTGACACCCCCCACCCATCTCCTACCCATTTTTTTTAATATATTTTTGAAAAAATTAAATTTTTCTCTTGTATATATACTATTATTTGCCTCAGCTGTCTATACCTCACATGCACATTGCAGTGTCCTTCCTTTCCCCAATGTTATCATGCTGGTCACAGACTCTTCCCATCCCATCCCTCCCCTCACCCAAATCAACATGTGACTCCCAACTAGTCCAAAATTTTCCCTTACCTTCCCTCCCAACTCGGGTAACCCACAATATGTGTTTCCTTCTGGAAGTAAACTTTTCCTTGACTTTTTACAATAATGGGCTCATACAATGTTTGTCTTTATGCAGTTGACTTATTTCGCTCAGCAGAATGTCCTCCAAATTCATCCGTGTAGTGAGATGATTCAGGTATTCTTCATTGTACTTTAAAGTAGCATAATATTCCATTATGTGAATGTACCATAGTTTGGTTATCCATTCATCTGTTGATGGGCATTTAGGTTGTTTCTATCTCTTTGCTGTAGTGAATTGTGCTGCAATGAACATGGGTGTGCATATGTCTGTTTATGTCCTGTCTCTCACCTCCTTAGGATATATTCCTAGTAATGGAATTGCTGGATCAAAGGATATATCTATTTTCAGTTTTTTAAGGAAACACCATACCATTTTACACAATGGTTATACCATTTTGCAGTCCCACCAGCAGTGTATGAGGGTTCCAATCTTTCCACAACCTCACCAGCATTTATTACTTTTTGTCTTGTTGAACTTTGCTATTATTGCTGGGGTGAGATGATATCTCATTGTTGTTTTGATTTGCATCTCTCTAATGGCTAATGATCGTGAACATTTCCTCATGTGTGTGTTGCCTGCCAGTATGTCATTTTTAGTGAAGTGTCTGTTCATGTCCTTTGCCCATTTTTGAATTGGATTATTTGTCTTTTTGGTGTTGAGTTGTTGAAGTTCTCTATAAAATTTGGAGATAAGTCCTTTGTCAGGTATGTCATATTGTTGTTGTTGTTGTGTGCCATCGAGTCAGACCCAACTCATAGCAACCCCTCCTTGCATTTCCAAGGTGGTATCACTACAGAAGTAGATTGCCCAACCTTCCTTCCAAGGGGCGGCTGGTGGATTTGAACCACCAGCCTTCTGGTTAGCAGTCAAATGCCTTAGGCACTATGCTACCAGAGCTCCTCAGATATGTCATAGCCAAGTATTTTTTCCCAATCTGTAGGTTCTCTTTTTACCCTTTCGGAGAAGTCTTTCGATGTGCATAAGAATTTAATTTTCAAAAGGTCCCAGTCGTCTAGCTTCTCCTCCACTGCCTGTGCATTTTGGGTGATGCTTGATAGTCTATTTATCCCATAAATGAGGGCCCCTAGATTTGCTCCTATTTTATCTTTGATGAACTTTATAGTTTTGGATTTTACATTTAAGTCTTTGATCCAACTTGAATTTGTTTTTGTGTGTGGGGTGAGGAATGGGTCTTGTTTCATTTTTCTGCAAGTGGATATACAATTTTGCCAGCACCATTTGTTCAAGAGGCATCTCTCCCCCATTTAATGGGTTTTGGTCCTTTGTCAAAGATCAGCTGTCCATAGATGAGTGGGTCTATTTCTGGGTTTTTGGTTCTGTTCCATTGGTCTATCTCCTACAATTTTGGGAGTATCTTTTCCCCTCCTACTTCTTCAAAACAGATGCAGTTTGATTCCATTTACTTCTCAGGAATCTCCCAGTAAATAGTTTTCAGTGCACAAAATGACTTTGAATCTTAGGATTTGTTTTTCATTTCTCTTCTTTCTTTTTTGTTATTATTTTATTTCTTTTTAGATATTAGAAGATTCGAAGAACTTTCCTTGTTAAAGCCTCCTGGTGATTATTTTAAAAAGAAGAAGAAGAAAGACAAAAATAATGAGCCCATAATCGAAGATATTTTAAACCTAGACAGTTCTCCAACAATTGCAGGTCCACCAGGTAAGATTCTTGACAAATGTTTCATTGCTCTAGTTTATGGATGTAGAATTTCTTAAAACCCAAGAAGAAATATTTTCTTTCTTTCTCTGTCTCTCTCTCTCTCTCTCTCTCTCTCTCTTTCTCTGTCCATCAAACAAAGAAGGAAGATGAAAACAAGAGGATTGCTGTGTTGAGGAAAGGATATCCAATTAAGTTTAGCAGTAACTGTTTTTTCAGACCTTTTTTTCAGTAAGGTATTCATGATAATTCATTATTTTATTTGTTTTACTGTGTGTCCAATGAATGTAAAATTTTTGTACAACTGGCTGTGAATTGGGGGTAAAATTTTGATACTTAGAAAAGAGTTAAGCTGTGTCACTCAGTTATACTTCTTTTTTCCTGATTCTATCTGTGTGCAATTTTTTCCTGAACTCAGGTTTGCATTGGATTTATAAAGGGAAAGCAATACATTTATTGCATTAATTTATAAAAATAGAAATATTAGGAAGGTATTATTTTCTTTTTATATCAAAATCTCTAAGTTGCTTGCAACATTGAGGACTTTCTTACATTGTATATTCCAATAAAGAGAACAAGAGAGGTATTTGTACTTTCCTTATGTAAATTAGAGCCAAACGATGTATAAATCATTAACTGGTTGGGTGCTTAAAATTGGCAGGTACTGCTATTTGTTTAAAGGGCTTGTCCAAAAACATAATATGATGAGTTGAACATTTACCTCAGGTAGATACACTCCTTGGAGAGAACAATCATGGGAGAAAGAAGGGCTGCTTATGCACAGGGAGACAGCTCAGGGGGCAGGAGTGCATGGAGGGATGGACACTGGGAAGGGGTAACTATGGGGAGGAAGTAGAAGGGGACTATTGCATTGTTGTAAATTGTGGTCAATGTCATGAGACAAAGTGTATGTGAACTGCTGTATGGAAAGTGAATCTGCTCTGTAAACCTTCACCCAGATCACAATTTAAAAAAAAAAGAAAGAAAGAAAGTAGCAGTGTTCCATGATATCAATGTCCCAGTCTGTTTAACTTTAAATATATATATATATATATATATATATATATATATATATATATATATATTATGATCATGCTTTCTCTGAGGTTTCCAGTTCTCTTATATTGCCAAGACTCCTTGCTAAAATAGGAGAACTTTGGCTTATTGGGAAGGAGATGGTCCTCAACATTTGTCTAAGTTGATATTCGGGAGCTTTCAAAGTCTGAGTTCTCAAGCTTTCCAACAGCTGAATGTACCAGCAAGAGCTTTTCCTGTGTATAACTTCTCTCCCCACTTGTCATGGCTCATCTGTTTATTTCAAATGGTTCAAGCATTTAAATTCAAAATTCATTTAAACATAAGCAATGTTAGTACTTATTTTTCTAAAGATTCTTACCTCTTGAATTTCGTATCAGAGTATTTTCTCTTTACCTTGCAGTAAGTCCTGGTTTATACAGTAAAACCATGACTCCTACATATGATCCCATCAATGGAACACCAGCATCATCCACCATGACTTGGTTCAGTGACAGCCCTTTGACTGAACAAAACTGCAGCATCCTTGCATTCAGCCAGCCCACCCAGTCACCAGAAGCACTTGCTGATATGTACCAGCCTCGGTCTCTGGTTGATAAAGCCAAACTAAACGCAGGGTAAGGACATGGCTCCATTATGGCTGTCTCTGAACTGATATTGACAAAATAAGAAAGATGCAACAGGAATGGGGGGTAGGGGAGTAGTGTTTCATTTTTACATTAGTATATGCCTGAGGATCACACACTGTTAGCAAAAATCTGTGCTGGTTTTAGCAACAAAAGGGAAAACCTTTGGTCATTTCAGTACAGGCAGTTACGAGGTTACAAATGAGATCCACTCCTAACTGTGCCTTTAAGAATTTGTAGGTCCATTGGAACAGGTGTGTAGGGTTCTTATTTAGCCTTACTTTAGTGCAAGAAAAGGCTCAAAGACTTTCCATTGATTTAAAATCTACAAGTGCAGCAAGTAAAGGTGAAAGTGATGAAGAATTTGTTTTGAGTAGTGGTTGATTCAGTTGTTTCACAGTGAGGGCAAATTTATATAAGCTTGAAATAGATTTTGAGCCGAAACAGTACTGCCCACCCAGGGATAGCAGTGCCTCACTCAAGATGGTGGAGCACCACTCAAAGATGGCAGCATGTCGTTTAAAGTTGGCAGTGCCTCGCTCAAGGATGGCTGCACCACTTTGAATGTGTGTGGCTCTCCACCATCGTGCCAATAATCCAGTCTCATGCATCAGGCACCTCTTCGGAGTCTCCCGTTTTCCAGGACTTCAATCCATAATATTTCATGCTCCAGTTACCATGACAAATCACCCAAATTATAAAAATCTGGGTCTATTCCTGTTTCGCTTTGTCAGCCATGACAAAACTGGTTTCACAATAGTTTGAAGCCCTATTTAAAAGACAAGTAGGAATTGTCCATAAATCATATGTTCATAACCCAGAGAATGGCTGTACATTTAAAATTATGACAGAGCCCTTGAGTGGTACAAATGGTTAATGCAGTTGGCTGCTAACCAAAAGGTTGGAGAATTGAGTCCACCTAGAGGCATCTTGGAATAAAGCCCTAGCCATCACCTTTTGAAAAATCAGCCACTGAAAACCCTATTGAGAGAACAATGTGGAACAAAACTCAAAATCATTTGGAAAGAAAAAAAAGGGGGAGGGACCAGGTTTGCTCGTCCAATAGAGCCGGGTGGAACCACTGAGACTATGGCCCCTAGCTGCCCTTCAGGTCTGGAATTGAACCCACACCGGGGGTTCCAGCCAAACAGAAGACAGGCATATGAGTTGAACATTTACCTGAGGTAGATACACTCCTTGGAGAGAACAATCATGGGAGAAAGAAGGGCTACTTATGCACAGGGAGACAGCTCAGGGGGCAGGAGTGCATGGAGGGATGGACACTGGGAAGAGGTAACTATGGGGAGGAAATGGGAGGGGAGCTGTTGCATTGTGGTATACTGTGGTCAACGTCCTAAGACAAAGTATATGTGAACTGCTGTATGGAAAGTGAATCTGCTCTGTAAATCTTCACCCAAATCACAATAAAAAAAGAAAACCCTATGGAGTGCAGTTCTACTCTGACGTATGTGGGGTCCTCATCAGTTGGCATCAACTTGACAACAATTTTTTTTCTTAAAGTATGAAAAAATGTGTATGACAATGCCAAATGTGTTCTGGTAACTCAGTGGATTACTATGTGTGAAAACTAATTCTTTGCCCCTATAAGTGTACAAAACAAATTTTATGGAATGTAGAGCAACTTATATGTGTGTTGGGCCCTATGGGTCTGCAGGGGAGATCCAAAGTGGCCCCCCTGGTCCTTATTGTCTTGTGGAACACCACTTCTCTCTTGAGGAATTCTAATGAGCAAGTCCTTAAGCTCTGTTTGAAGTGATCTCTGCAAATACACCAAAACCATTTCTCAAACCACCATTACTTTCACTCTGCTTTGCTCACCAAATAAAGTCTAACTTGTTCCCTTTAAGATGTGGTCCCAGCAGATATCTCTGTAACCTACTGTGATGTTATATGCAGCATTTCACACTCACTGTTTCTGTCTTTGCTGCCCCTCCACGTCTTTGCTCTGCTCCTGGACTCTTCTTCCTGCCTTCACTACTGGTGAGTCCCTACTTGTCCTTCAAGACCCAGCATATATGTTGTGTGCATCTCAGATATAAACAGTCAAGATCAATCACTTCCCTGTAGTTCTTTTCTTACTCCAGTGTCATTTTGTTCCTTTATTATGATGCTTGGTCTCCTCGCTGGACTGAAAGTTCCTTTAGGATAGAGATTCCATCTTGGTCATCTTTGTTCCCCCACAAGTCCTAATATAATCAAAGCTCAAGACATTTTTGTTCAGTAGTATTGGGTAAAACTCCTCCCCATCTTGATTTAACCTTTAATCTCCACCCTGCCACCTGTCACTATTATCCAGATTGTTGTTTTATTATTATTTTTCACCTCTAGAATGGTGCTGTGCAGCACAGGAGCCACCAGCCACATGTGGTATTTACACTTCAATTAAAATTTTAAATTAAACTCCATAGTTTAAATTAAGCTATGTCACTAGCCACATTTTAGCTATTCAACAGCCACCTGTGGATAATGGCTACCATACTATACGGCACAGATATAGAGCATTTCTACCACTATAGAAAGTTCTATTGAACACCAGACAATAGCTCTACTAGAGAACAATGGTTCTAATTCTAGAGTAGATTCTATTTAGACACTAAGACAGAACTAGCTTTGGGCTGAACCACCTGGCGTAGCGGGAAACACAATGCGGGGAATCAGAAAGTACAGATTTCATTCTGGCTCCACTACGAAGTGTGTGTGACCTTAAACATGTCACTAATGTCACTGAGACTCAGTTTCCTCATCTCTAAAACTGAGATCATAAGGCTCTTTCACTGGATTACTTTAAAGTGCACTGAAAAAATATATATATATATGTATGAAAAGCGTATTGAAAACTCTAAGATAAAATGCAAATATAAGCTATTATTGAGTACTCTCCCTTACTATTATTTTATTATTTTCCTTACTCTTACTTTGCTCAAGGCTCTATATGTATAATTGATTGATGTTTAAAATTCTTCCTATTGCTTTCTAGTTGGCTAGACTCCTCACGCTCCCTTATGGAACAAGGGATCCAGGAGGATGAGCAGCTGCTGTTACGATTTAAATATTACACTTTCTTTGACTTGAATCCCAAAGTAAGATCCTTTTTATTGCTTTTTCTTTTTTTAATGTGAATGCATTATAAATAGAATAGAGTCATTTCATTATCAACATTAGGATTAAACTATTCATGTCATATTCTGTCTATCTCTGCAGGGTTAGACTGATAACTGATGTACTGATCTCTGAATTTTTACCTTTTGGTTTCTGGTGAACGTGGTAAGCTGCCCCTGAGCTAGCAAAATTCTCTAGGAGTATTTTAGGAAGGTTCTCCATGCCCAGCAAGGTGCACTGCTCCTCTCATTCCCAGGAATCAAGGAACAAAAGGAGAGGAGACCACAGAGCTGGAGTTCTTAGCACTTAGGGAGGAAAGGTGTTGTCAAGGCCCAAGGGTAAGGGTAGGTTCTTATAAACAAGCCAGGACCACACATCGGTGCCAAAAAGATTCCCTACCACAATACTTATAATTCACCACTTGTGATGAGAAAGAAGGATTCGCTATACAAATGACCCAGATAGTCACCAAATCCCATTATTTCTAAGTACACATCACCTACCTGAAGTTTATTAGGATAAGTAATGAGTGGTGAAATAAGTCCTTTGCGGAAACCCAGGGAGAGGTTGCTATGAGTCAGAACCAACTCCACGGCAGTGAGTGAGCTGCCTTTTGTAGAGTTTTGAGTCAAAAGGCAAACATGTTAACTGAGTAACCAGTCCTCTGCACTCACAGGGTGACTTCATTGTGTTGCTCCCGTCCCATTTTTGTCCTAGTTATTGTTTTTCATTTTCTGCTGGTCACTTGTTTGAGGAGTTTGCCTTGAGTCAACTTTTCTATACAGATACTTTATTTCTGCCACTCATGGCATTGTCTTCTCTGTGGTCCTGTTTATAAATCTAGTCTTCCAAGATCCACTCTGTAAACTGAAGCTAAATTGTATGATGAAGACTAACTTCTTTGACTTTTAGAGGAGAAATGTATGCAGACTGTAGGATAAAAGTAACAGATGCTGATAAAAATCTTAGATCTATAAAGTACTAAAACAAAACATGTTTTAGAATAATATATAGAAAATATCCAGAAGTCATAAAAGATTGGTACATTTTAATAATAAATGAACATTTTATGCCTGACCAAAAATGATTTTTAAAATAATAAATTTTATATATGAAATGATAAATGGAACATATAAACAAAATAGATTAATATTAATATTTTGTTCCTGTATTAAATTCCCTAATATATAAAGAGCTCTTACAACTCAATAATGAAAACAACCCAATAGAATAACAGACAAAGGATGTGAAGACATAGTCCATGTAAAAGGAGCTACAAATGACTTCTAATTTTATATCAGATTGGCAAAGACCAAGAAGTTTCACACAAGAATGTAGGGAAACAAGATCTCTCATACACTGTTCGTAGGTCAAAGTACAAATTAACCTAGCCACTATGGAAGGCAATTTGGCAATATCTATCAAGATTACAATCCTTAATTACCAAAATTACAATAGCTTTGACCCAGCAAATCTACTCCACTAGATATTTATACACAGTTCTACATGGAAATTGATGTGTATCTACACAAGGATAATTAAACTAAAAACCAAACCAAACTCACTGCCGTGGAGTCATATCTGACTCATAGCAACCCCTCCTTGGGTTTCCAAGATGGTATCACTATGGAAGTGGATTCCCCAACCTTCCTTCCTACATTATTTGTGAAAGAAAGATTGGAAACCACCTAAATGCCTATCAACAAGGAAATACATGATGGTATGAATTCAGTGTTGTTGCTGAAAAGAATGAATCAGTTCTCTTAATATGGAACATATTCCAGGCATATTATTGGATGGAAAAAAAAAAAAAGATCAAAGTGCAAAAGAGTCCGTAGAGAAACTACCATAGAGAACAAGGAAGGAAGAGAGACTAACTTTTTACAGTATGCCCTTTTGTTCCATTTGAAATCATTCAAAATGAATTCATTCATTATGTGTCTTTTTGCCCCTTTTAAATGTGTTCCAAATATAAAGATTTTTAAAAAGTTTTTATAACTCTGATAGTTTATTGCACTTTTAAAATGTTCAGCAGAGAAAAAGCACACCACTTCTAATAAGAGGGCTGGAGGATACTGAAAGCTGCTCCCCCAACTACTACAAAATCTTAAATGATTAGGTATAAATAGTAACTCCTTCTTAAGAGCATGGAAACTGTGGTAGGTAGGCAAACAGCTTTGGTTTTGTTCTTCATTTGCTTTGCTGGTAGTTGAGGGTGGGGGACGTATAACTGACTGCATGGTGACGGAGGCAAGGAGTAGAGGTGCTACCAGACTTGGGTTTCTATTTTCACTTTCATCAGGAAACAAAAATCTAGGACCAAGTAAAGGACATGAAAAGCCAATCCACACCAGAGGAAAAGTGTGTTTTAGGTTGCTAGATTCCTAAGGCACTTGACTACTAACCAGAAGGCTGGCGGTTGAAACCCACCAGCCACTCCTAGGAAGGAAGATGGGGCAATCTACTTCCGTAGTGATACTGCCTTGGAAACCCAAGGAGGGGTCGCTATGAGTCAGGTCCAACTCAATGGCACATAACAACAACAGAAGCAGTCCCTGGATGGTGCAGATGGTTAATGTGCTTGACTGCTTATTGAAAGGTTGGAAGTTCAAGTCCACCTAGAGGCACTTGGAAGAAATACCTGGCTATCTACTTCCAAAAAATCAGCTACTGAAAACACAATGGAACATAGTTCTACTCTGACACACAAAAGGTCACCAATGAGTTACATCACCGGAGAATCCAACCAAGAGTTCTCAGAGTTCAAAAAAAGACCTATTAAGGTGCCTGTAGGAGCTCGAGTAGCGTAGTGCCTAAGGCACTTGACTGCTAACCAGAAGGCTGGCGGTTCAAATCCACCAGCCACTCCTCAGAAGGAAGGTTGGGCAATCTACTTCCGTAGTGATGCTGCCTCAGAAACCCAAGGAGGGGTCTCTATGAGTCGGGTCCGACTCAATGGCACATAACAACAACAACAAGGTGCCTGTAATGACCTGTGAAAGATCCGGAACTTTGTGATGCTCCAGTGCCTCAGAACCAAAAAACCAAACTCACTGCCAGAGTTGGACCCGGCTCATAGCAACCCCTCCTTGGGTTTCCGAGGCAGTATCTCTACAGAAGTAGATTGCCCAACCTTCCTTCCGAGGAGTGGCTGGTGGGTTTGAACCGCCAGCCTTCTGGTTAGCAGTCAAGTGCCTTAGGTATTATGCCACCAGAGCTGAGAGATGGGGTTTATTCCATATCTAGTCATGATGCCTTATTCTAATCTTATTTTATATTTATATATAATGCTAACTTGTACATATAGATAACAATTATTTAGCTCCCATTATTTCAAAGCTGCAGAAGCTTTTATTAAAATTTTTAAATCGTTACTGACTGCATTTGAGAGAAAAGTCTAATTGGGCCATTAAATTTACTCTTACTGAAATGCCTACAGTATTAGGATTGTAGGCACTGTGATTGACTGACTGAATGACTGACTGACAGATAGTTACGACAATTTGTTAAGCTGATTTAACTTTCCATGGCTACACACAGTACTTAAATGTTAACTTTAAATTGTGAATTAAGCAGAGATCTTTCGGGAGTTGCTTGGGGTTTTTTGTTTCGGTTTTTGTTTTTGTGTTATGGTTTTGTTTTTGTGTTATGGTTTTGTTTTTGTGTTTTGGGGGTATGTGCCTTAAGTGCATGGTTTTTTTGTTTGTTTTCTAGTTGTCAAGTCTTTTTATTGCAGTATAATTTACATAGCATGAAATATACCCATTGACATTGTAATCCATTATAATTTATGGATTTGGGGTAAATTTATAGAAGTATGCAACTACCACTGCAATTCAGTTTTAAAACAATGCTCCACTCACTGTCATCAAGTCAATTGTGACTCACAGTGCCCCCTCCTTGAGTTTCCGAGGAGGTATCACTACCTAAGTAGGTTACCCAACCTTCCTTTTGAGGAGTGGCTGGTAGGTTTGAACGACCAGCCTCCTGGTTACCAGTCAAATGCCTTAGGTACTGCGCCACCAAAGCTCCTCCTAAACAATTCTATCACCCAAAAAAATTCTCCTCAGGCCCATTTGCAGTCAGTTCCTGCTCCCAACTTCAAGTATTCAAGGAAGTTTTTTTTGGTTTTTTGGTCTACTTTTTCTCTCATTTTGCCTTTTCTAGAAATTTCCTACAAATGGAATCTTACAATATCTAATCTTTGTGTCTTGATTCTTTCACTTGGCTTAATGTTTTTGAGATTCATCTCTGTTCATGCATGTATCAGTAGTACATTCCTTTTTACTGCTGAGTGGTATCCCATAGTGGGGATATGCCACATTTTATTATCCATTCACTGGGTGAGAGACATTGACTTTTGGCTTACTTCTGGTTTGGGGGTATCATGAACAAGGCTGTGTTATGTTTTGATTGGTTCTTGGAGGATTCTGGGTGAGCTTCTGAGGTGTTCTATGATACCTGGCAAAGTTCACATAACAAAGACTGACTTTCTTAAGATTCTTATTATTCCAGCCTCCTGAATACTACACCCTTGGGTTTACATTTGTCTTCCTTTCCCAGTAGGTTTAGAAATGCTGACAATGAGCTTGCCCATGCAATACGGCACATTCCCACACTTCCCTAACAATAGTGCTATTTGCTGATTTTGGCTTACTTAGGGTTTTTATAAGGAGCTCTGGTGGTATAGTGGATAAGGCATTTAGCTGCTAACCAGAAGATCAATGGTTCAAACCCACCAGCCACTCTGTGGACGGAAGATGGGACAATCTACTTCTGTAAAGATTTACAGCCTCGGAAACCCAATGGGGTCACTGTTCCCTGTCACTTTTTTCTTTTTTTTTTCCCTATCACCTAGTGTGCATAAGGTTAAGTGCAAGAGTAAAAATAAACTAAGGCATTTGACTGCTAACCAGAAGGCTGACAGTTCAAACCCACCAGCCACTCCTCAGAAGGAAGTTTGGGCAATCTACTTCCATAGTGATATTGCCTCAGAAACCCAAGGAGGAGTCACTATGAGTCGGATCTGACTTGACAGCAGTGAGTTTATTTTTTTGGTTTTAATCAACCCATGATACATCTGTTTAGATACTCTGAGTATCCTTCTATTCCTTCTCCATGTTTCCTTCAACATTGTTCATTTATTTCCTTAAAAGGATATAAGTAAAATGTATACTCACTATAAGAAAAAAAAAAAAAACATAAAAATGAGCTCTGATGGTGCAGTGGTTAAGGCATTTGGCTGCGAACCAAAAAGTTGGTTGTTAGAACCCGCCAGCCACTCTGGAGAGGAAAAATGAGACACTTTGCTTCTATAAAGATTTGTAGCCTTGGAAACCCAATGGGTATTGCTATGAGTCGGAATCGATTCAATGGCGGTGAGTTTCATTAAAAATGAATGATTTGGAATAAAAATGGAAAATAGTCCTTTACATGACTTTTCTCTCAAGAGGCAGCCCTAGGTAACAGCTTGATGATTCAGCATCTTTGCAGACCATTTTCACACATTTATAAACATTTGCAAACAGATACTCAGATCATTTTTTCCTACGTAAATGGAATCATTTATTTGCTTTGTAGCTTGCTTCCTTTCACACCATAATATATCATGGCTCCCTTTTCATGTCAATAAATATAAATCTGACTCACTTTTTTTTAACTACCGCATAATAATTTCAAAGGAAAGGCTAAGCCATAATTTATTAGACCTATGGGAGCTCTGGTAGCATAGTGGCTAAGACACTTGCCTGCTAACCAGACGGCTGGCGGTTCAAACCCACCATCCACTCCTCGGAAGGAAGGTTGGGCAATCCTACTTCCGTAGTGATAACTGCCTCGGAAACCCAAGGAGGGGTCGCTATGAGTCGGGTTTGACTCGACGGCACATAACAACAACAACAACATGAGTTGCTTGCAGTTGTTGCTATTTTTAAAAATATGGTGGCCGTTCTTATACAAATATATTTGATAAGTATTTGTATTTCTTTAGATTATTAACCCTACAAGTAGTCAAAGGGCAAAAGGATTTAAATACTTAAAGGTACCACCTAATTGCCCTCTGACTAACAGCTTATATGAAAGTGTCAATTTCCCCCATATCCTCACCAGCACCAGACATCTTTAATATGTAAAATTTAGGCAAGTTTCATAGGATGAACTTGAATTCTATGATTATTAATGAGATTGAGCATCTTTTCCAATGGTTTTGTGGCCATTTTAGTTTCTTCTGCTAATTGCCTATTTATGTCTTTGCCCCATTTCCTATCAAAATATCTTATTTCCCATATTGATTTATGGACATACTTGGTATATTATAAATACTATCTTTTATATTTATTGAAAATACTTTCTTTCAATTGGTCATTTTTTATAAATTTAAAATCTTCTTTAGAGTGTTTTTCACCATTAAAAATGTTTAATTTTAGGAGGTCAAACCTATTAATCTTGTGTATTATAAATTTTAGGGTTCCTATCTTGCTTAGAAAGTTCTTCCCAGCCAAAGATTATAAAAAATATTCTCTCATGTTTCCTTCTAGTAATAGTTTTGTTTCTTATATATAGGGTTTTTTATTGCAGCTTTATTGACATGTAATTCACATACCATACAGTCTACCAATTTAGTATATACAATTCAGTGGTTTTTAGTATATTCATAAATTTGTGCCATCATCACCACTATCTAATTTCAGAACATTTTCATCACCCATGAAACCCCACTCTCATTAGCAGACAATGCCCATTTCTATCCAACCATTCCAGCTCTAGGCAGCCACTAATCCATTTTGTCTCCATGGATTTGCATGTTCTACACATTTTATGTAAGTAGAGTCATGTAATATGTGGTCCTTTGTGACTGGCTTCTTTATTTAGCATAATGTTTTCAAGGTTCATCTATGTTGTGGCATGTATCATTTCTTTTTGTTGTTGTTGTTGTTATGTGCCATCGAGTTGGACCCGACTCATAGCGACCCCTCCTTGGGTTTCCGAGGCAGTATCACTACAGAAGTAGATTGCCCCATCTTCCTTCCGAGGAGTGTGGCTGGTGGGTTTGAACCGCCAACCTTCTGGTTAGCAGTCAAGTGCCTTAGCCACTATGCTCATTTCTTTTTAGTGCCATATAATACCCTATTGCATGGATATGCCACATTTTGTTTCCCCTTTGATCAGCTGATGGACATTTGTGTTGTTTTCATTTTTGAGTTATTATGAATAATGCTATGAACATGAGTGTACAAGTTTGCATGTGGAATATTTTAATTTCTCTTAGATATATAACTAGAAGTGAAATTACCAAATTATATGGTAACTCTATGTCTAACTATTGAGGAACTGCCAAACTGTTTTTCAAAGTAGTTGCACCATTTTACATTTCCACCAGCAATGTATGAGGTTTTGAGTTTTTCCACATCCTTCCCAACATTTGTTACTGTCTGTCTTTTAGATAATAGCCATCCAAGTGGGTGTGAAGTGGCATATCATTTTGGTTTTTTTGTGTTAAGATTTTTAATCCATCTGTAATTTCTATATTTTTGGATGGCAATAAGCTTGTTTTATGGTTTGGGTCTTTTTACCCCAAAATCGCATTTTCAAGAATTACTTGTAGAACAGTTCATTCTTTCCTACCTATGTCAAATGCCATTTTTATATTGAATGTATATATATACATAGGTCTGTTTCTAGATGCTGTTTTATTGATATTTCTGTCTGTTGCTAAACCAATACCACACAATTTTAATTATTGCAACTTTATATGTTTTAATGTCTAAGAAGACAAGTGCTTCCCCACATTGTTCTTTTTCAAATTTTCTTGACAATACTTGAACATTGTCTCTTCAACTTAACTTGAGAATCACCTTACATAAAATTCTACTAAAAATCCCTTTCAGCTTCTAATTGGGGTTGCACCAAGTTTACAGCTCAGCTTGAGGATCCCTTCTCCTTTAGAACCACTTTTCACATAAACCATTTTCACTACCTGTTTTCACTACCCACATACATTTGAAAAAAAGAAAAATTATAGAATCTCAGATGGGCAATTCAATTCTTTGAGGAGGTTCTAAAAATATTTGGGAAAGAGTGTTTTGAATTTGGAACCAAAATGAGGTAGACAGTGGGAAGTTAGAAGTATCTCTTTCAGTTACTTGAACTAAAGCTTATTGCATCTGATGATTGGGCAATGGCCTCAGTTATCCCAGAACTTTTGTACTGTATTATATAAATATAGCCTTTCACACCCACATGTTTCTTTCTGTAGTATGATGCAGTGCGAATAAACCAGCTCTATGAACAAGCCAGGTGGGCCATTCTCTTAGAAGAAATTGACTGCACAGAGGAAGAAATGTTGATCTTTGCAGCTCTACAGGTATGGAACATCAGGGTCTTTTGTCTGGCAGAAGATGAAGCAAATATGTTCTGGTTAAAGTTTTATTTTTTTCATACTTTCACAAAGGAGGTGAAAATAACAGCAAATTTGAATTTAAAATGTTCCTCCTAGTACACATATGTGCAGATAATATAAAACGTTAGTCTTCTAGTCCTGATCTGTGTCCCACAACAAGCACAGCTGGGATAGGGAAGAATCAAGTTTCAACATGTTGTTGTTGTTCTTAGGTGCCGTCAAGTTGGCTCCGACTCATAGTGACCCTATGTACAACAGAATGAAACAGTGCCCAATCTGGTGCCAGCCTCACCATCCTTGCAATACTTGAGCCCATCATTGCAGCCACTGTGTCAATCCATCTTGTTGAGGGTCCTCCCCTTTTTCTCGGACCCTCCACTTTACCAAGCATGATAGCCTTCTCCAGGGAACGGTCCCTTCTGACAACATGGCCAACCATAAATCTTAGAATGACTCCAATTAGAATGTCATTTTCCATGTGTGTTTCAGAAAATGCTTGGTATTTGTGATCATGTTTCATTAGAGAGAAATTGTCTTCGAAGAGAAAGAAATGGCTAATGGGTTCCTTTGTGTTTATAACATCTCTACAACTTCTGTTTTCATTTTAGTATCATATTAGCAAACTCTCATTGTCAGCTGAAGTACAAGATTTCACAAATGACTCTGAAGTTGATGAAGTAGAAGCAGCACTTTCTAATTTGGAAGTTACCCTAGAAGGTGGAAAAACAGACAACACTTTGGTATGAACTTCTCTGATAATTCAAAATGGCAGATTTGTTCAGATTGATTGACAAATATAGATGAACTTTTTCTTTTTTTTGCCTCAGAAATAAGACAGTATTTAGTCTGATTTTGAAAAAAAGGAAATACTATCTTCCTGCGACCAAAACTTAGAGCCTAAGGCATTTGGCTGTTAACAAGAAGGCTGGCAGTTCAAACCCACCAGCCACTCCTAGCAAGGAAGACTGAGCAATCTACTTTCATAGAGATACTGCCCCAGAAACCCAAGGAGGGGTGCTATGAGTCAGAACTGACTCGACAGCAGTGAGTTTTGTTTGGGGTTTGTGTTGTTTTTTTTTAATGACCAAAGCTTAACCCTAGCAAGAAGTGACTAAATTTTCTCAACTTAGCTCTGTAAGGGACTATAAAACCAAACCAAATCTCTCAGGCCACCTTTAATTCATGGTGACCCCATCAATGTCAGAGCAGAACTGTGCTCCATAGGGTTTTCTCTTTTTTTTTTTTTTTAACTTTTATTGTTATTTGGGTGAAAGTTTACAGAGCATATTGGTTTTCCATTCAACAATTCCTATGCATTCTGATTTGTGACATTAATTCTAAAGGTTTTTGATTGGCAGGTTTTTCAAAAGTAGGTACCTCTGGGTAGATCTTTTGGTTGGCAGCCACCCATGTTAACCTTTGCACTGCCCAGGGATGTAAGAGACTATAAAAACCAAACTCACTGCTATCGAGTCAATTCCAACTCATAGTGACCTCCACTGGGTTTCCAAGGCTGGAAATCTTTATGAAAGTCAATTGCCTCATCATCTTCCTGTGGAGCAGCTGGTGGGTTTGAACCATCAACCTTCTGGTTAGCAGCCAAATGACTTAACCACTACCAGAGCTCCTTGCAAGAGACTATAAGACATTTTTATTACTATTAATGATGATATTTTTGTACTGTATGTCTTCCTAGAGATAAGTTGACATAGTATGAGGGGAAGACTGCTGAAGGCCCCACTTCACTAGTGAGGGACATAGAATTGGTCCCTTAGCTTAAGTCTAAAAAGAACTACTTTGTCTCTTGCATGGGGCAGCTGTTAGAATAGAGTAGGTTCATGTAAATAAATGCTTTGCAGATACAAAGCCTCAATGTCTATTTATCTATTCATACATTGCAACTGACCAAGGTAGAAATGAGGGCCTTTTTCATGTGTCATTGTCAATTTCCTGGGTCCTTTTGATGTCAGAAACTAAATAAACAAAAGACTTCCAATAAAACATAAAGAAATAAAGCTATAGTTTATCACCCGTTGTTCCTTACCCATGAAATGTGGTAGAATGCCAACTTTATAATCAGAACGCCCCTCTTGTTTAATGCATTCATTGGGTGCCACCCTTTTTTTTAACTTCTTCAGTTATGGAAGTAATTCCTATTAGTTTAATCACATTGAATCAAAGAGGTAGGTCCATTGTAATTGGACTAAAGTAGTAATAATAGATAAGAATGAGTCACTGTATTCTTATGCATTTAACTTGTGTTGCCTTATCATTAAATGCCTTAAAATAGGAAATCAGTATTCAAAAACAGGTACTTAACTGAAAATAAAATGTTAAGATTCAGAGCCTATCTCGCATTTGTAACAGACATGGGCCCCCTGACATTGGAGTTGTCTTTTGTCTACTTCCTCCACTGAATAGATACAATGGGACAATGATGCTTCTTAGAATAAGTGAAACTTCCGCTCCTCCTTTCCTGGACATTTTTGTGACATTAAACAATAGGCTTTTCAGTTTGAAACGAACTTTGAACCAGATTCCTTTTGAGAGTTTATCAGTGAACTAGATGTAGCCAGAGTTACCCACCCTACTATAAAAATTATTAAATATTTTGTCTGTAAAAGTAGTTGTTACTAACTCAGATTTTTAACTTGAATGGTATATACTGGGAGTGCTTAGACAATTTCCTAATCTTTCTTTTTTTTTTTCCATTTTTATGATATATGACTATGAGTCAGAATTAACTTAACAGCAATGGGTTTAATGGATACAGCATAACAGATTAATATTAAATGGTTACCCAAGTTACCACCCAAATCAAGAAATAGAATTTGACCAGCCACCCCAAAAGCCTCTTAATGTGACCCACCCCACTCTCAACCCTCCTCATTCCCCTTGAGATAATGGTTTAAATGTGGTTAGTATGACTGGGGAACCAAATTTTTCATTGTCTTTCATTTTAATTAATTTGAATTGAAATAGCTACATTTGTTGAGTGGCTACTGTATTGTACAGTGCAGGTATACAGTATCAGTAACCAAAAAACCAAACTCACTGCCCTCGAGTCAGATCCAACTCATAGCAACCCCTCCTTGGGTTTCTGAGGCAGTATCACTTCAGAAGTAGATTGCCCAACCTTCCTTCCTAGGAGTGGCTGGTGGGTTTGAACCGCCAGCTTTCTGGTTAACAGTCAAGTGCCTTAGACAGTACACCACCAGAGTGCCTACAGTATCAATACCACCTATGAAATTATTGCTTAAAAAAATATTATCTGTTTTTCCTTAGGAGGACATTACTGATATCCCTAAACTTGCAGATAATCTCAAATTATTTAGGTGAGTAACCCTAAAGGGGGGAGGGGCTACTCATAACAAAATCTTGCAGGTAAGAAGCCTGGGAGTTTAAACTGCACATCCCTTAGGCAGGTTCATGGTTCAATAGTGGGAGCATAGACTTGGGTATCAGACTGCTTGGTTGAATTCTAGCACCACAGTGCACACTAGCTGATCACCTTGGACATTGTCTTCACATCTCTGAGCCTCAGTTTTCTGATCTATAAAATGGGAATATACTTCCTCTTGCTTTATTGGGTGGGTTAAATTTTAAAAATGCACATCAAGGGTTTAACATGGTGCCTGGCTCATAGTACATGCTCAATAAATAATGAGTATATTTGGTTTGGGTTTAGTGTCAGCAATAAAGGACATGTGGGCCAGAGTGGAGTTTCTATTAGGGTCGATCTGGGAGGTTCACAACTCTGACACCATTTGAAGGCTCTTTCACAGTTTGAAAATCAATCATATCTAGAACTTTGATCCTAGACTTAAAGAGGGTTGTCCTTTTATGTACTTTTGCCTGTGAGTGTTTCTGATAAGACCTCCAGTCACCTCAGGTTGCTATGAAACTGTTTGAAAAGGCAGAGCAGGTTTTTTTTTTTTTTTTTTTTCCGTGAAAGTAAAAGACTGCCACATTTATGATGGTGCCAAGGTGTGTTAGGATGAAAGGAGTAAGACTGCTTTGAAGTTCTATCAGTTACTTTTGTCACTGTGGTTTGTTGACTTTTCTTAACAAACCAACACTTCACTCAGGGAAGTTGGCTTCCAAAGAAAAATGGGTTGCTTTTTGATAAGACAGGGGCTCTGATGCAGTACTGCCTAAGGCATTTGACTGCTAACCAGAAGGTTGGTGGTTCAAACCCACCAGCCACTCCTCGAAAAGAAGACTGGGCAATCTGCTTCTGTAGAGATACCACCTCAGAAACCCAAGGAAAGGTCCCTATGAGTCAAATTGACTCAACAGCAGTGAGTTTGGTTTGGTTTGGTTTGATAAGACGAGATGCAAAGAAAGACTTGGAAGGAATGAGTAGTGGATCAGGTATAAATAAGAAACAAGTATCCAAAGGTAACAGTATTTGTCACTGAGTTTTCACAAGTTTTTTGTTTTTTCATTTTCTTTCTTCATATGATCACAGGATATGCTCTCAAACAATGGGGTCATCATTTAGCTTCTGGGAAATAATTGCAATCACAAATTATTCATATTGTCATAGTCAGATTTGCAACAACAACAAAAAAAAGTAATAATTTGAATCCACAAACATCTTTCCAAAGTATTAATAATTGTTCTGTAAAGAAACTGGGTTGACATTGTTCATATACAGCAAATCCAGCTCTTCATAAACAAAATTATAAAAACCTCCTTCTTGTAGATGCTTTTGATGAAAGAGAGGGTATTCTGGAGTCAGTGCCTACATCCAATCAGTCATGCTGCTCTGTGAGTGTTACACTCAATCTCACTGTTATACTTGTATGTAGCCAATGGATCCTAATAGAAACTCCAATCTGGGCCAAAGGTCTGAAGATCACAATTAATATACAATATGGTTCAAGGAAAGAAGGAAGGAGTAAGGGGAAAAGAGGATGGTGATTTATTCAGTGGTGTGTGACTTTTAACAAGACTTTCATTTCCCTGGGCCATTTTTCTTTATCAGTAGAAGAGCACTGGACTAGTCCTTTGATTTTCAGGGGTTTTTTCTTTAACAATAATGCCCTTTTTTTCTAAACAAGATCTTCTATTGAAGTCATTATATAAATAATAGATTTCAGGTTCTAGCAACATAGATTTGATCTAATGCAAACATCAAGTCAGGCTATAAATACATAGAATACTGGATAAAATTAAAATAAAAGATTACAAATAAAAAGTTGAACTGCATGTAAGACTAGGAAATCTCAGCTTGCAGGAAATAAACAGGAAAGCTAATGGATGAAGCCTCAGCAGCCCAGGGACAACTGAGACAGGGACATGGGTTCTAATGGTTTAGAGATGGGATTTCAATCCCAGTGTCACGATAGGAGATAGAGCTTCTGGCCTGTAACATAGCAGCCAAAACTGAAGTCCGTATCTGAAAGTGGAACTTTGCAAGTGCTTCCCTGTGCTATGGGGAGTAGAAAACTACCCATCAGCCAGAGGAAGGAAGATCATCCTTATGTGGGGTTCTTTGTGGGGAAATGAAAAGTCCCTCCTGAGAAATCAGAGCTAGAGCCTGTGCCACACACAGATGCCGAACTAGCTTTAAATGTCTTACATGAGAATCCCAGACTCAAAAAAAAAAAAAAAGAAAGAAACTAGTCTAGGACCACAAAACTGATGAAATCCTAGCAAATGTAATTCCAGCAACACTAGGAATGAAATAGCCACAACCTAGCATGCATAGGCCACCGACAGAAACCAATAACTCCTTACAAAAAAAATGACCTCCCAATAAAAATTACTAATCACATGAGTCAATGAAACACCATAAGAAAGAGATAGCAGACCCAGCAAAACAAGACCATTAGCAGTTTCAATAATGTTATGTAATAGGACAATCTGAAGGAACCATAAGTATGTTTAAAATGATTAAGTAAATTAACAAGTGAAAATTACATTAAAAGAGAAAAAGCAGTATTGAAAAGAAACCAAAAAGAAATTTTAGAAGTAAAGAAATATAATCACAGAAACTTAAATTCAAAGGGCACCTTAAACGTTGTTAAAAGACACTGTTGAAAACACAGAAAGGTAGAAATGGAGACTATGTTCCAGGTAGGCTAAAAAGGCCCAACATATGCCTACTAGGAGTTCCAAAAGAAAGTTGGGAGTGGTTCTGGTTAACTAGTGCCACTCTTACAAGAAAATACCACAAATGGGATGGCTTGAAGAAACAGGAGTTTATTCTCTTACAGTTTGGAGGCTTTAAGTCCAAGTTCAAAGTGCCAGGCTCTAGGGGCTGGGTGAAAGCCCATCAATTTTGGGCTTCAGTTCTGCCTCCTGCTCCCGGCCCACTGGAGCTACAGGCTTTTCTTCACTCAGACAGCTGCTGGCTGCTGAGACTGACAAGCCCAAGGTTGACGAGTAAAAAGGCACAGTCCCAGTGTTACAAAACCGCACAGCAGGCCATTAATTCAAGTCCACTGAAAGTCTCAAGATCAGCAGAACATGGCAGGCTGCTGAACAGTGATGCAGCTACTTGCAGGGTTCAAGAGTGCCATAAGCTAGAGACTGTTCTGCAAGGCTTCTCCTTATATACAGGAAGCAGACCACATCCCTAAGGCAGCTACTCAGCTGCTCACAGTAGATTCCACCATGGAGTTGACTACTAGTCTCATCATCGGGAATACTACACCCAGCCACTCAACCAGGCCTAGCCAAGTTGACACATAGACTTAACCACCACAGGAGTGAATGCTTTTGAGAGTGCTTAAGAATTTTCCATGATATTTGAAGACAAAATCCTCAAGGAATCACAAATCCCAAGTACAATAACCAAAATCCAAACCCACTGCCCTCAAGTTAATTCTGACTCATAGTGACCCTATAGAACAGAGAAGAACTGCTTCATAGGGTTTAATTTTGTTTTGTTATGTTTTAATTTTTATTGTGATTTGGGTGAAAGTTTACAGAGCAAATTCACTTTCCATACAGCAGCTCACATACACTTTGACTCATGACATTGATTACAATTTACCACAGTGCAACAGCTCCCCTCCCACTTCCTCCTCATAGTTACCTCTTCCCAGTGTCCTTCCCTCCCACACACACCTGCCCCCTGAGCTGTCTCCCTGGACATACACAGCCCCTCTATTCTCCCATGATTGATCTCTCCAAGGAGTGTATCTACCTAATGTAAATGTTCAGCTCATATGCCTGTCTTTTGTTTCGCTGGAAGCCATAGGAATGGGTTCAATTCCAGACCTTAAGGGCAGCTAGTCTCAGTGGTTCCATTAGGCTCTATCAGACCAGCAAACCTGGTCCTTTTTTTTTTTTTTTTTTAATTGATTTTGAGTTTTGTTCCACATTGTTCTCCCACTCTATCCAGGATCTCCTACATAGATCCCCCTCCGAGTGGTTGACAGTGGTAGTTGGGCACCATCTAGTTCTTCTGGTCTCATAGTCATATAAGTTGAAGATCACATGGTATACCAACTGCTGGGACTAATTGTTTCCATGCCTCTTTGGTTTTCTTTATTCTTCTTTGCTCTGGATGAGGAGAGACCCATCGTTGCATCTAGATGGCCACTTTCAAGCTTTCAAGATCCCAGTTGCTACTCAGCAAAGTAGGATGTGGAACAATGTTTTTGGGTAGTTTGTTATGCCAATTGAGCTTGATGTCCCCTGCAACTATGGTCCCGAGCCCACAGTCCAACTATTTGCTCCCTCTGGGTAGCTGACTGTGACCAAGAAATGACTATAACCTTGTCCCTTGTCAGCTCTACCTCCTAGGAATTCTTACAGAACACACAAATACACTTGTAGAAAGAATGTCTGCCAACTCTACACATGGTCTTGGGTACACTTCCCCTTGCATAGACATACCTAATAGTTCAGCCTGTCTATCCGCCCATATAGCCATGTTTGCCTTCACTGAAAATGCAGTACTGTATGTACTGTATGCAAAGGGTTCATCTTTATTGTCTGTACCTCCCATGTACTTCTCTATGTTATCCTCTTCCTCAATGCCACCATGTTGATCACTCATATTTGGTACATTACCCTTCTCTTCACCGAAATCAATACTTGTCTTTACTTATCTAACAGTGTTCCCTCCCCTCCCTTTACACCCCTGATAACCAACAAAGAAATTTCCTTCCATATATGAACCTTTCCTTGACTTTTTACAATAACAGACTAATACAATATTTGTCCTTCTGTGATTGACTCATTTCACTCAGCATAATGTCCTCCAAGTTTATCCATGCTTTGTGGTGTTTTACAGATTCTACATTATTCTTTAGGGTTGCATAGTATTCCATCGTGTGTATGTACCATACTTTGGTTATCCATTCTTCTGTTGATG